GTGTATGCCTTTCCTACGATCGCGAGAACGGAATAGCCGGCGGAACTATTCGCCTCCGATTTCACGACTGTTTAGATTAAATTCATTCAATCGACGCGTCTCGATCGACGGTCAAAGTGGTCAGGTGCGGCGAATCGGACGATTTCGAATACTCGGCAAAGCATGGCGGTATTCTCGAAAGGAGGCGGCGTTACAACCTGTAAAGTAAGAAATATCGTACAATACAAGAAAAGTACAAGCTCTTTCTACGGTAGAATCGTAGCAACGGCGGACGTTTCTTTTTCACCTTGGTCACACTCTCTTACTCTCTCTCTCTCTCTCTTTCTGTTTCTCTCGGGCCGCGTCGCGCGCGACCGGTCGTTCCGCGCTCTACCTTCCCCTGCCTCGTCCTCGATTGAATCCGCCCCTTCCTCGACCGGTGACCTTGCCCTTGGGCGGCGGAGACTTCGGCCTGAGAGCTTCGATGCGTTCGGTGCAACCTGTGGTGATCTGGCCGTTGGCGAAGTAGCTGGTGTACAGGTCCGCGTTGAAGTTTGTGTTCGTCAGCTCGGGTCCCACGGTTAGCCACCCTGGCCGGATAGTAGTGTCGCGGCCGAACAAGTGCAACCTGCGAACCACCGATACGATACTCGCTCCGTTCGATCGCCGTCGATTCGTCTAGCTCCTTACCGTCGTCTGCCGAGGCAGAAGTGCTCGATTATATGGAAAATCTCCACGGGCTTCTCTATAGACCCGTACTCCGGCTCCTCCGATATGATCAGGTCGATGTCCACGTTGGCGTGGATGAAATCTCCGTCGGTGGATCGTCTGACAGTCCCTTTGATCCCCATCAGGCAGTGCTCTTTAGTCCTCTGCAGCACGGCTTTGCTATCCAGATTCTTGCTGTGACCGGGATTGTCGATGTTGGTACGAATCCAGCAAATGTCCTCGCACCGCCTGAAACCCCACTTCCGGAGGCAGAAGCGTCCCATGTCCAAACCGTCGCTGCTGCCGCACCAGAGAAACACGAAGCTTCGGTTCGCCGCTACTTCGCCGATGTCCAGTTCCATTATCTGCGAACGGGACGGTGTACAGATGGTATAATCGCTGCCCAACGGACTTGGGCATGCCGCAGCTCGAGATGAACTCATATCGGCATGTGATTTAGTCATAACGATGGGCCTGATGTTATTGGCCTCTTTCCTTGGCGGAACATAACTTCCGTGAGGTCGTTATGCCCGCGGGACGGTGTACAGTGAAGTTAATCGAATCGTGTCGGACCAACGGACGCCCCGTTGCTACTCACTTGATCCCAGTTCCAGAGCTGGACGTTGGTCGCGCCGCAAGTACGCTGGTACTCCTCGAGAGGAGGCTCGATCAGTATCACGTCGAACTTGCAATTCAGCTCTTTCAAATTGTACGAGAGCAAGTCCGTTTTCAGGTACATGGGCGGAGTGGCGGTCTCCGCTATCAAGTCGTCCTTCAGTTTGATCAGTTCGCGCAGTTTCGGGTACTCCTCGAATCGGTCCGCGAGACCCACGTCTCTGATGAAGTTCTGCGGCCGTTGGCCAGTGTCGATGAAATGCTGGCAGTAATCGTTGTGAGGATTCGACGATTGTGTACCCTGCAACCGTTCGACTCGATTACTTTTCCATCGGCTGAGATTAACACGTTGACTTCCATGGTGATCACCGGAGCTTCCAAATTACTTGAAAACAATTGTAACTCAAGATAACTGGCGTCGAATGAAAATGTTTAACAAGGCAACTAAGTTGATAATAGTGTAACGCAAACGTTGCAACGCCGAACAATTCATAAGTATTCCTACTTTTCTTTGCTACCAAAGACAACCTCTATGGGAAAACGCTTAAGATTTTCGTGGCGCTTAACGTGTTAAGGGGTTAAGCAACTGATAGGTAATTCAGCTTCATCTGCTGACGGTTTCGTATATTTCATAGAATCTCCATCCGCAAAGGGTTAAACGTAAAGCAACCGTACCTTGAGAAACGTCGAGGAGTCCTTGTAAACGATCTCGTCGGTCGGCGCGGCGTCATTTTTCGAATCTTTCGCGCCATTCACCGACCTCTCGGACACCGACCTCTCACGCTTTCTCTGCGAGTCGTCCACATCGGTTCCCAGAATCTGTCGCAGCTCGTCCACGCTGGAGACCCCCAGCTACGAGGAAAAATGCTTTATCGGGTGTCCGCTGAACCATAACCTTAAAAACGTGACAGTGGCGAGACGGAGTTAACCGGCGAATCTTTCCTCACCGTTTGCGCCAGCAGTTTCTTCCGTTTCTGCGAACGCTCGCGGAGAGTTTGAAGCATCGCTTACTAGAAGTTTCCTCCGCGAAGAACAGCTGGCAGAATTTCATGTGTCGCGGGGATTCCTTGGCGCTCGCCGCTTGTCGTTCGGCGCATCGATGCAACGCGGTTTCCGGTTCGAGGGAATCGTTCCGCGAACACGACGTCGAAGCGCTGATTCTCTGGGCCGGATCACTCGCTTCGAAACTTTTACGATTAGCGAATCGCTCGCTATGGAACGCGAAGAGAATAACAACACGCGTCTGACGCGACTACGACCTTATCCCTGACTTCGGTATAGTCATAGACAGTACGAATGTAGACGGGATACCGTCGTTCTCGGCGGTTCTCCAAACTGCCTTACCCACGAATTTTACAGATTACTGATTAGTGTTCTTTTTTGAGGCTGATTAATAGGTTCAGTGCCACGTGGACCGTATATGGTAGGATTTCTGTAAGAAAATAAAAAATATAAACAATATCGAGACGTATGCAAGTCAATATTTCATTAAAAAGATCGATATAATTTATAAGCAACATAGAATCGACATTTCCGTGGCACGGAACGTATTAAGTATCGACCCTTTGCGGATTTTTCGAAATATTCAAAATCCTCAGCAAAGATTACGTTGAAATACAGAGTAAAGAGGGAGCTATCAGTCTCTTATGCGAATAATTACATTTTATACTATTAATTCTATACCTTGAATACAAAAATTCCACGTCTCAAAAATGCCGACGTTCCTCAAAGAGTTAAATAAACCGCACATCTATTTTCCAATATTCAAATCAAGAATACCTAACACTAGCAAACTGAACAGCAAAACGGTGAACAAAGGAACTACGTAACACTGCAAAAGTACGTCGGTCACGTCGAATCCCTGAAACCGTATTAAAATACAACGCGTGTCAGGTCTACATTGATATCTATTCCACGCTTTGACCGCTGCAGTGCTGCCCCTCGCGACGCACCGTGCGACTAATGGCGTCATGGCGTTCCACCGCGCGCAATCTTCCAAAACGTCGACGATGGACAGGAAAAGTTCGGATTTCATTCGGACAGCGTCTGCAGCGGACCCGTATGCGATGAACGGTAAACGAAACGCCCCTTTGCTTTCTTTCGCTTCGTTTTTTGTCCTCCGTCGAGGAAGAGAGAGGCGAGAAAGGAAATATGCGTCGCAACGCATCGAGTGGTCGGTTGTAATTGTTCTGATTTGTTTCGAATCGCGATCGGTTACTCGGCCGAGCCGCATAGCTGCCCGGGAGAGAGGGACGGCGCAGAGCATCGAGAGCGAAAGTCGCGAGCGGCGCGAAAGAAATGAGCGCGGCGTGAAAGCGCGACTCGCGCCGCTAGGAAATGAACGTGACGAGGCGGACGACAGCCGGGCGCGGGGCGACACGGCTGGAGCGTGACCGGGGGCTGGTAACCTTAACACATTGCGTGTCGGCTAATTTTCAGAAAACGATGCCGATTTTATGTGAAATCAATTTGTATTAACTGTTTGCACTCGGAAGTCTTTCGCTGGGAATGTTCAAGTTTCTGATGAACTATAGACGACACCCTTTAACCCTTTGCGGTCCAAAGTGCTCTTGGTTTCTCGCTTTAAGGTTCACGTCGACGTTAGTTCATTCGATTACAGCTTAATATGACGCTCTATTTATTTATTCGTTTTCATCGATTTATTTATCTCGTTTCAGTTTGATTTGTTTAGTGTTTTGTTTAGAAGGTTTATTAGATTGAAGGGAATATTATAATAGACGAGACTGTCACCGAAAAAGTGTTAGTAGCGAACTCGTTAACACGTTGAACGCCGCACGATTCCATGGAGCATAATACTGGAAATGGAAGAGCTATAATGTAAAATCATTTGATTGAATTGCATTGTCATCGTTGCAGGTTCATCTAGCTGAATGTCTAGAAATAGAAATGTTTCCAAACAGTCATGGTTTAATCAAGTGGACTACAGTAATTTGATTTGGCTGTGGTCACCGGTGACCCTATGGCATTCAAACATGTAGCGTGTTAACAGGTTTGCTACTAGTGTCACAGATTTCTGACGGCTGTAATGCCATACTTTACATAATGATTTACATAATGATTGAAGAAGATATAATTAAAGAGTCACTGAAATATGCAGTGCTAGGTTTACTCAGCGAAAAAGGCGTTAACAGGTTGGCTACCAGTGCCACGAGCATCTTAAGCATATTTTCCCATAGAGCTTTCCTTTCATAGCAAAGGAGAGCAGGAACGATTATTAACTACTCAGCGTTACAATGTTAGCATCACGCTATCATCAAGTTAGTTAACATCTTCATTCCACATCGATCATCTTATACGTTACGATTGTTTTCTAGTCATTCAACAGCGTCGGTCACCAGTGACTGACATGGCGCTTAACGCGTTAACCGATATATTAAGCTACTTTCAAGCTTCCGCCGACTTTCCAGGTATTTTCATACTATTTCTTTGCGTTCCCCTGTTCCGACGCGTACCACGTTCTTTGACACATGTCTGACAACGAATGTTTCCTTACAGAAATTCCGCGTGTACCATAAATGGTACACGGAGCGTGTTAGCCGGAGCGGGCAAACGAGACGAAGAACCGGGAGTTAGGCACGTCGGCGTCGCACGGCTCCACGACGGAAACACGGCCGCGACGACGAATGGGATAGGCGGATTAAACCCGTGATAATCGGCGTGGATCGGTAGGGATCGGTGGTAATCGTTTACCGAAAACCGAGGCACCATGGAACCGAGAAGGAAGGACATGAACGAAAAGAGCTGCTTCTCCTCGGAACAGTGTCTCGCGATCGCGTCGAGGTAACGGTTCTGAGAAGCAGGTGGCAGAGTACCGAGGCGGCGCCGCGTCGCTTCCTCGTCGTTCGCCTCGTCGACGTCGTCTTCCGTTTCACCTTCGCCGGAACCGTAGATCGCCCGGATCGGAACCGTTCCCCGTCGAACAGTTATTCCGATTCCGCCCGCGGTCGTTCGCCGCGGGATCCTAACGGCCCGTAAGGTTTGTACCGCGTGTTTCGAATCCTGCTGCGCCGTCGAACGGAAAATCAGGGGTCGCGAACGTTCTCTCTCCTCTCGCCGCGGATATCGTCCGCGCGGCGTTGCCCCGGGCCGCGCGAGCCGGCGTCAGGCGGTAAACGCTCGGATCGGATCGCATCGGATAGAGTCGGATACTCCGGCTGGATGGGACAGCGGAAAGCCGACTGATTTTCCTCCGCGCAGATTCGATAAATGAGAACTCGGCTGACCTTGCCCGACGATCGCGAATGCATTATTTGTTCGGCGAAGCAGTTGACACGGTGTTAGTCACGTACGCGTTCGCGCGTAGACGAGCGCGTTGGCGAAAACAATTTTTTGCTCGCGTTCGCCGGCAGTTGCCGTCGGTTTGGGCAAACACGGTAAACGAGGATGGGAGAGAAACGGCTTCCGCGGGAGAGCGCGAGACGGTAACGGCGCGGCGGGGTAGACGCGTTAGACAACGAGCCGCGCGGGGCGCGACGGGACGGTGGGGCAGAGAAAGAGAGCGGCGACGGGAACCGTGCGCGAGAGAAAGGCAGAGGACGGACGCGGTCTCGCGGCGGTTCGCCGGGGGGTAAGAAAACCGAGTTCGAGTGAATCGTCACCGGGCTGGGCGAGCCCCGATTGGTCGGGTGCCCGAGCCTATTCTCCGAAATTCGGCAGGAATTCCGAGAAATCGGCGACGGCGCTACGCTCACCGGCATCCCTTTGCGCGCTCGCCGCTGCCAACGACCGTCCGTCTCGTTTAGTCGTCGCTCCCGAGCGTCGCGTCGCGTCGGGGCAACGCACACGGATACGCAACGAGAAACACTGGGAAAAAGTAAAAAGCCGACCGGGAGACGCATACACGCGCACGCGGAAACGGAGCGAGAGCGAGCGAGAGAGAGAGAGAGAGAGAGGGACTGAGACCTAACCCAAAGACAGAGACACAGCACAGACAGGGAGAGAGAGCTCGCGCGAGTGTTACGATCGAAATCGGTTTCCGTTCCTCCGCGAGATTCGCGATGCACCGGAACCGTTCCGACGAGCCTCGACTCGCGCACCGACGCGGGTCGGCCGATCGAGCATTTTCCGGAAACACCTTTCGTTCCGATCGCGCGACTCGCCTCGGCTCGCCTCGCTTCTCCTTTCCGCGTCGATCGTTGGTAGCCGGGTACATCCGTTTCCTCTTTGTTTTCGCAGGGAACCGAGTCGAAGCGAATCCAGTCGAGTCGGAAAGGGTGACCACCGAGGAGAACCAAGATGAGACCCGACGAGGTGATACAGAACGAGAGGCGGGCGATGGAGACGATGTCCGAGACTTCGGAGGGCACCGCAGCGACCAGCGTGTCCGGGAAATCGGGCGAGGAGCTGCACGACATCGCGGCGGTGCTGGGCATCGGGAACCCGGACGATCTCTACCAGGATCGGTTCCGCGTTGACCGGAGGAAATTGGAGCAGATGCTGATAGGTGAGTAGTCGCAAACGCGCGGAACCCTGCTTCCCCTCCGAGCGGTCGACCTCGCCGCGCGAAACGTCGGATTACGGCGACGATTTAAATAGATTACTTGTTTGTAAACCGAATTAGAGAGGCTACTGTCAAACGGCGCTACGCTGCTCCGCGATTATGTCCGCCGGCGCGGTCTTAACGTTTATTTTGATCGGGACCCGACGCTACGCCGCGCGTATTTACCCGTACGGACCGACTTTCGATCCTCGGGAATTCGGCCGAATCTTGCAGCGGAAAATCTCCGGAACCCGGCGCGAGCGACGCTTCACCCTTTGCCTGGTCGTTTCTCCCTCGATTCCGAGCGACGCGACCACTTTGTCATTGATAATTCATACCGAACAACAGAAAAATCGTAGGCATGTGCCTGTGTTTGCCCTCGAGTATAACAATCGTTCACGGAAGAACAATGTTTACCTCGGATTCGAATGAATCGAGCGATATCCTCGCCGGATATGAGAAGTCTAAAACGCTCGTCGCGAGTCGGACGCGTTGCTAGGAGGCAAGGGGTTAAAATCTAAGAGTCCACTCGACGTCGGCCGTTCCGTTCGACGAGGTCGCGCGGAATTCGGGTTCCGTTATCGCGCGTTGCCGTGCCACGGCTATTTCCTTTCGTCCCCGCGGCGTGCGCGATTCGAACGTTCGAAAATCCGACGCGACGGAAGAGGCGCTCGACTCGGGGACCGAGATGACGGCCCGGTCCATTTTCCCGGGCGACGCGCGGGGACGGCGAGGCTCGTCGCCTAGTCGCGCGTTCCTCCATCGAAGGAATGTATCGAAAAACGGGGTAAAAAAAGGAACGAGAGTTCGTTGTACCCTGACCGTATACTTTTCTTTGTTTACAGGTGATAATGACGTGCCCAAGGCAGCGGACGTGTTTTTTCACAACGTAAGTTGCGGCTTATCGTCTTCTCTCGCTCGTACGGCGTACGCCTAGAATGAAGATCGACCTCCGCTCGCCGCGATTTCGCCGATTCCAGGTGTCCGGCCCGGTCGCGCGTGTCCCGTCGCCGCTCGGATCGAGGCACATATCGGGCCGGACGGATCTCGGGAACGCTATTCGAACGAAATTCGCGGGGAGAGGTCAACGATCGCCGGCGAGTTTGTCGCCGCGAGGACGAACGTTCGGCGCGCGGTAAACCGATTCTCTCGAAATCGCACGGTGCTCGCGCACCGAACTTCGCTCGGTACGTACCGTCGCGACCTTGCGATTATGCCGAGCCGAACCAGACTATTTTCGCGCGTTTCCCCCCTCCGCCGGAACGACCGATAATTCTTCCATACAGAGTCATTCGCGGTCTCGCGGACACGGCCGTTTCACCTATCTCGCGATGAAACTTTTTCCGTTCCCGTCGAGACCGGCCTAGGGTGTCCCGCCGATGCTGGATCCCGGCTCTCGATGCTCCGTTCGATTCGACTCGAACCGAGCCGGCCGGGGACCGATGAGATCGCTTCGAAACGCTGGCGTGGCAGTAGTTCGCGTAACGAATGCAGCGAGCCGTTCGCCGACAAGTTGGAAGGCAACGTTCACGCTTATCCTTATCGTTGACACGTTGCGTAAAAGGGGCCTGGAAATACTCCACTCGATTATTTATAGACCGACTTTACTCGCAACGCTCGAGCCACGTACACTCGATCCCGTTCTCCGCGCCTCCCCGAGCCGAATCGAACCGATCCGATTCGATCGAAGACCGAGCGACGCGAATCCGCTCGTCGCCTTCCGAAACGACCGCGAGCGGCGACGACTCTCCGCTCGGGAGAGAAGCGTTCTCGCGCGGATCGGGGATCGAGGATCGGAGTTCGCGGTCTTCCCGAAATACCCGGCTACACGCGACACGGAATTTTAGCGGGAATCGACTGGACCTCGAGCCCGATTTATCCCCGCGACCGACGTTGCCGCCAACTTTTCCCGATCCACGTCTCTCGGAGGCGATCGGGAAATTCGAAGTACGGTACTTTTCCGCCGCAGCTGCTCGGCGACCGAAACGCGGCGGAATAAATCGAGTCTCGAGGTTCTGTTTAGTGCGTTCGCTTCGTTCGCGATTGCGGCCGCTAGCTAACGTGAATGTGAACGCGATGGTAAATATTTCGGAACGGTTCAAATAGGAATTTTCATTCGATTTTTGTTAATGGCTATCGAGTCCCTTTTTACGAGTAACAGTATAGACCAATAATGAGATTTTGCAGCTTAATAATTCGACTTATTAAGGAATGTTCATATTAATGAACACCGTATTCGTCAGAATGGCACTCCGTGACGAGAGGGGTGTTCAAGGGACACGCGGCGGAACGACGAAACGGCAGACGTCTCACGCTTTTCGATCCTAAGGACGCACGCCGCATTCGTCGCGGCGTATTCGTCCGATTCGGGACAATCGCGGACTACACCTGTCCAGAGGGAATCGCGAATGGCTCGCAGGTGGCTCGAGAGCTCGCGCGCGGTACAAGGGAACTACCTGTTCGCCCGGCCACGTTGGTCGCTCGCCGGTCACGCAGATCAAGACTTTAATTCGGCCGTTCGCGCCGGTGCACGATGGTCCAGAAGCCTGCCTTTCGTGCAACATTATCTCAGCGTCGCTTGAAGCCTGAAGGCAGCAGTATTTCCGGTCAGCTAGCATTCTTCTCAAAGCTAAATTTCCTGTAGACGATCCATTTGCAAATGAACCAAACGGAGCAACGAAACGATCAAAGACTCTCCGTTACGAGTAAAAACTGTACCTTCAATTGAGAACTCCTGACGATGCGACACGGTTGTTTCGAATAATATTGTAAAGCTCGAAGGCGTCGTCGCGAGATATGAACGGAAATTCGCTGAAACGCCGAAAGACGAGGAATTGAGTTTTGGCGACGAAAAACGGGTTTCTGGACCATTGGTTGTCTAGCCGCGGCCCGCGGGTCCTTCGACGGTGCGGCTCGCTCGGTCGCTCCTCGAGCCGTCAGTGTCGGAGCGACGGAGAAAGAGGAACGGAAAGAAAAACGGGAAGAGAGAGGGAGAGGTCGGGACGGAGACGGGTCGAGCGATGACGGCGGCGAGTGGGAGGCGGTTCACCGAGCCGTCCCGTTACATTATCCGCTGTTAGTCAGTCAGTCGTGCCAGCGATCCGGACGCGAACGGTAAAAACGAGAGTCGACGCGGCCGTCCGCGGAGCATTCTGCCGACGACAGTGCCGACAGACGGAGAACCGGTCACGCCGCCGCCGCC